ACAAGTTATGAAAGCCATCTTTTTTTTTGCAGCCTGGCAGAGAGACGAAAAACTCCCTCCCTCCATATTTTAATTTTTCCACTCGGCAGTGCCACTGCTCCCTTTTGTGTGCCGCGTGCTAATTATTGCCCAAGCTCTGCAGCTCCGTAACCATCGTCCAGTCGTGTTTAAACAGCGGCAAACACAACATATTTTAGGTTCCTTGCCTGAAAAGGGCTCATGTTAGTCACACGCTTGACTGCTCTTGAAGTGAACCCGCCTCTCTGTGCATGTGTTAATTTGAGCGACTGGGCAGATTGAGAAATGTTGTCCATTAGATGTGGTTTATTTTGATTAGTTGTTAGATGCCACGCTTCGCCCACTGCAATTACAAATCGAAGTCCCTTTGCTGCTTGAACAAGTTGCTGATTGACACGCTGATTATTGCGCCACAGAATTGCCGCTGTGGTTTGAATTACTTTATTAGTTTTCTTTTTTTCCCCGACTCGTCCTTGAGCAACACACTTAATCCCAACATTGCTCCCGCAGCTGTGACGACGGTGTGTGGATGTTAGTTGGTGATGGGCAGGTGGCACCTGGTAGCTGCTGTTATCGGCGTATGAATGGGTGTGAATGGTGATGATGTTTGATGAAATTGCACTTTCTTGTTTCTTGTTCTTCTGCGTTTGTAGCCAGTTTGTAGTTAATACAGCAGCTGTGATTTGACGCAACCGTAGGATATTTAGAGCGGCTAGACTGAGGAAATGAAAGCGTGATTAATAGCTGCTGGACTAGAAGACTTCAATAACGGGCAGGAGTCATATTCTGGTTTTGTCGGTGTTGGTGGAGATGGTCTTTGGTTTTTTTGGCGGCTTCTAGGAAATTGTGTTGTAAGCGAAGTGGAATCAAGAATAGAATGTCCTTAACATTTGTTTTTACAGGGATTGGATAAGAGGGTAGTTTGATCAAAATTAAGCAATATTTCTAAAAATGGGCTTGGGTTAGTTTTTTTTTTAGTAGTTGTATGAATGGTTTTCTAAGAAGTTTACTCATTATTAAATATAGACCTTTGGATTGTGATTATTACCACTAATCAAACCACAGAAGTAGGCAGTTCTAACCGCTTCAATCATTTTATATGAAGGTGGTCAAGTTGAATTGACCTTCGTTTGGCCTTTCTATCTTCATACTTTGTTGTCTGATGTGATCATTGATCCAAGGATTGTGTTTAACTGGTGAAGACCTGGAAGTGAATGGTGCAGAGGAGCCGAGGCTCATTTACCGGACTAGAAAAGTAACTGCAAGTGGATCACACATTTGTGGATTATTGTAGTAGAAATGCATCAAAAACTACTGTAATAATGATTGGATCGATTAAAGACTAAACCCATCTTTAATAGCTGCGTTCAGGAGATTATATCTGGTTTAACAGAGCTCCACTAGAGGGGGGCCCTCCACAGGTTTAAGCTAGCTCAGTGTGAAATAAGGCCTTCCAGGTTGAGGGATGTAAATGGATCATTAAGGATGAAAGATTTATGAGACGTGGACTGATGGTTTAAATGATCAAAGGCACCTGGAATGGGGGGCTTAGCTCAAGCAGAAATATTAAATCGGGCTATAATCAAATTACTTCATGTACTGTATACATAGGTAATGGTTAGCAACTCGGTCCTAAGCTCACTTGCCATTTGGCCCGATGTGGCCAACTCGCATAGACTTGTGACTTGTGTGTAAGTGTTACACCCCTGAAGTGCGACCGTCCTGTGGAGTGGCACGAAGCACCCACCTGCCACGGTCCTGTGCTTTTGTTCAGTTTGTTTCATTTTGTCCTTCCTGCCGTTGTGTGTTTCCCGCCGGTGGGATTACCTTCCCAGCTCCTGATTGGTCAGCTACACCACACCGGTGTACCTCAGCCATGTCCCCCCCCCGTCTCTTGGTCAGGTTGTCTTTGTTCCGTTGCACTTGGATTGGTTCCCCTGTAGTTTGTCATAACGATTCCTTCAGCCAGGTGCTGTGTCTCTTTTTTTTCTTTTTTTATATAGTTTTTGGCTCTGTCGGCTTTTGTATTTGACATCCCGCCGTAATCCGTAAAGCTTTACTAGATATCGGTTTTGTCTTTTTGAGACCAAGCCTCGGTAAAACGTCATTTTCTGGTTTGACAACAGCACCCTTGATTCCTTCTCCTCCATCATCACACCACCCTCTTCACTCGCATCAGCATGTGCAGACACAAAGGCCGTGTGTCCGTGGATCCCTGACCGCCTGTGCATTCCCATGCTTAATTATCCCAACAGCTGAGGAGGAGTTCAAGACTACTTGAATTCGCTCTTATTAGGCCATTATGAGGTCACTCTGCGGTAACGGCGAGGACACAGTGAACTGGATGATGAAGGACAACTCGGAGCATTTAAAGGGTCCCCATATGGTTTCATAATAGAGCGGGTGCTATTGTCTGATGACCATTGGGGCACCTTTGAGATCGCATCAGTCAACCTATAACCAGCCTGGAGACTTGCTCTCCGTAACGCACGGTCTCACAATGACGTGTTATATTTTGCATGAGGAGAAACAGACATTTCCAGCAAGGTTTGGATCACGTCTGAGTATAAGATTCCTTACCTGCGTACTTCTTTGGTCACACTGACGCGCAATGCTAAAGAAATACAAAACATTCCTCGAGATGACTGACGTGATGATTACGTACACAAGTCATGTCAGCATGGTAATTAACGCCCGAGCACCTAAGGGTGTAAAGAACCCATTTCCATGCAGGCGTTCACACATACTGTCGCTACACCAATGATTCATAATATTGAGTTTGCTTTTCATAATGAACTAAGCTGCAGAGGGAGAGAAAAGGGTCCACACAACAAACAAACACATATATTTTACGTCGTTAATGTTTTATAGTCTAATTGACGCACCCAGAGAGACTACACAGTGGCCTCCCGTTCTTTCTGCTTCAGTTTAATTAATTGTCCGGAATGTGTCTTACTGTAAGAGGGAAGAAAGTGCATCTTTACACCGAGATACAATACCTGTAAGTCCACAGTCGGCCATTGTACCTCAGCCCATTTGTTCCGCGGCTGTGACTTTAGTCACTAAGCCGGTTGGAGTCTCTCACAGAATTGGCTGTAATGTCGCACTTTCTACCACGAGGCAGAAGAGAGCCATTCTGTTCCCGGTGTTTATCTTTCAGCTTCTGGCACTGATGCTGCTTTAATGGTCGGCAAAGTGAGCTTCAATTGACATGAAGAGAATTTTAATGTTTTAAGGGCACTTGTATTTTTAAACTCCTTTTGGCTTTCATCTCCACGTATTTCCATTACCCCGATTCATATTCCGGATAATGAAGATCTTTTTGCACTTAGCCCGACCGAGGGGAAATCTCCAGCCCACTGGACAGCAGTAGAATAAAATGAGTGTTAACTTGTTAAGGGCGAGATGGAGAAAGTATGTAAGAAGAAAAAATCCTTCCAGGGAGCCAAAAGATAAAGATAAATTTAGGAAATCACTTTCAACACTCTCAGACATATACAATTTCAACAGATCTTTCTCCGTTGTATCCTCCAAACCAGCCTAATCTTACAAGATGTATCTCTTTTTCAGTTTTAGTCTGGAAAAGATCTACAGAGAATCGACAAAGACCTCCAAATGAGAGCTTGACCAATCAGACAGCTGCAACAGATACCAAGAAGCAAAAGCAAGACGGCAACGTTGTTTCGGGGCTAGTAATATAAAAGACTTTCAGTGGACAATGTAAGAATCCAGACAGCTAATTCTGTTGCAGTTTTGTAAGTGTGTTCGTGCAGGAAGTCGACTTAACGAGGATTCTGAAACTCACCCTTTGATTGTTTCGTTCGTGCGAGCATGTTTTTAATATTTCAGTAAAATAGGAAAGCGGGGGGACTACTGCTCTTTCTGTAACCATTTAACCTCTTCAAAGGGATTTTCTAAATCAAAGTTTCGTCTTCTGATATTCTTCACATTTTGCAACGACCGAGCTTTTGTAATTCCATTTTATGTTTCTCTAGCTGATGAAACCTAAAATCAGAGGTCAGAGCCGGTGTTGTTTTATCATTTCAGTGCTTGAAAGTAATTTGTCAAGCACAGCATTGCAGGACACGTTACCAGCTTCAACATGCATGACCTTGATTTGAGCCGTACTGTATAATTCAATGTCTCTGCTCCTCAGCACGTCTGTGAGAGGGACGCATCAAATGACAGATGACTTGTCATTTATCACCGTCGTCAACTTGGCACTCAGAGGGAAATAACAGCCCGGCCTGGGTGTGTCACTTCCTGTGTGCACCTACTTTGTCTTTACACAAAACCGCTTAGCTGTCAAGTTGAATGTCAAATAATAGTACGCAATTGCGCGCTCAACAACATAGTTTAACAGCCTAATGTTGTCTGCAATCTCACACACACACACACACACATCAGCGCACATGCAAACGTGAGTTCACTTTGTCATGATCAGAAAAATGCAAATATTTTCTCATGCTTTGTAATGTTACGCCTTAAATGTAGGTGATCAACTGACGGCCCAAATGCTGGAAACTGTCAAATTAGTCTGGAAACTAGATAATAATCAGGCTACACACTTTGCTCTGTTCACTCTGGGCCACTGAAACATCGCAGTCTTTAATCTAACTTATTAAAACTCTAATAAAAACATAGTTGGATTATTATATTACATTTCTGCCAACAGATCCATCAAAATCTCACCCCCTGCTGCTTAAGTGCAGGCAAGTGGGAAACACGCTGTTCCTTAAACAAAGCATTTTTTTGTGAATTCACTTGGGAGTGCCTGAGGAGTTTTTGTGGCTGGCGGTGCCAAGCATCGACTGCTTCAGATGCCGAGTCATGTTCTCTTTCATGCCCACTCTTTGCAATCACTCTCTACTGACACCTGTCAGGGAAATGAAGTGCGCTGCTGCTTTCTGGTTGTTCATCGGCTTGTGTCCATATTTCATTCACACGTTGATTGCTTCTGAGAAGAATGGAGGAGGAAGTACCTTTGGCTGAAGCTGTTCTCCTTCCTCCGACAGTGGAGGGTCACGACCCTGTGACCTTCACTTCTGACGTCCTGACTCACCGTCCACACGACGGGGTTGCTGGCTCTGGCTCCCAGAAACGCCACCCCGTCCTTCAGCTTGACCCTGAAACACACAGACGTGCGCAGGTTAGAAGAAATGACATTAGATACTGGAACTGTATCGCAAATTCAGTTTCCGCGCTTCATAAACTTCCCGGCCTCTTTTATTCTCTCTCTCTTTCTTTCACCCTCTCTCTATCTCCCCCTGACACAAACAAACGTCAAAGGCAGATATGAAACGAGGTTGGTTTTAAGTTTCTCAAGGTCTGAAAACAAACTTGAAACACTCATGCTCTCTCTAGCACACATAGGACGTTAAATTATCCACTGAAAATAAATATATTTTGGAACGATGGTGACGGATAAATATGCTTTGCTAAAATAAAAGCACTAGCTTTTATTTTTTATTGATGTTATTGCGAGATGATATACGCGTGCTAGAATTTTTTTTTTTTATTGTTATAAAATAAATTTGGTTGAGAAAGGGAACTTTAAATTTCAGGCCCTCATCCACTTTGAATATTCATAAATTCAAATTAGAAATACAAATATATGGGATATCGCCCAAAATAATCACTAGTTTGGCGGGTTCCAAAATAGTCCTTGGTGAAGATGTGTTGAGCCACCACGAGTACGTTTTCAGGACTCTCCACAACTTACTGGAGCAATAAATACACAGGCAGCAAACTGCAGTACAGACACACAGTCACACGCGGGGCTTTGCCAGGACCCAGATCTCTGCAGCCGTCAGGCCCCCTCTGCCCCTCTGCCCCTCTATCACGTCCATTAGTCCCGGTCACAGTCTGTGGGAAACCATACAGGTGGAGAAGAACCATAACCTCCCTCTCTTCCAGTGAACTGACACGCTGTTACTTTCTTTCTTCCTCCTCCTCCTCCTCCTCCTCCTCTGTCACTTGCAATTACAAGGAAGTGTGTGTGAGCAGCTTACAGTGCCTTCTTCTCCAACATTACAAATTGCTGTCGTCTGAACCACTGCCACAAACGCCGCAGAATATGTGTATTTTGTGGTGGGAAATTATTGCACGGAGATCTGAAGTAAAACACCAATAGCACAAAGAGAAGTGAGAAAGAAAAAAAAAAGCAAGCATTTCCATTCAGTCACACATGAAGGGTAATTCGTCCCGGCATCAATCTAATTGGAGACTGTCCTCGTTCTAGAACTGCGAAAAACTGTAGAAGATGAATAGAAGGACCCCCCCCATTAACGGTGGGATAATGACATGACAAACCATGCAGCGGCCCTTAGAAGAGAGCAGTCAGTACACCTTCAGTGTTTCCCCCCAGTCTTCTTTCAGTCCCCCTTGATGAGGCGGCGATAACTGGCCTCGCGTCGGCCCGCCGCTTCTCACGTGTGAAGATAAAAGTCCGCCGGTGTGGAACACGCAGACAATAACCAGGAGGAGGCGACTGATTGGTGTCTGCCCTCCTGTTTCCCAGTCCTCACCGCAGCCTCGGTAATTACTGCACATTGACAAACTGACAGTGGGCTATCCGGGCCAGTGGATAATCAAATAATATGAACTGGAGTCTATACGGTGTCGCATTAATGAAATATGGAATCCCAATTAGAGGGGGCAGGAGGGGTGGGTTTAGGTTCCATGATTTTGCATCGTTGCTTAATTTGGATTGTCATTTAATGGTTTCACATATTTTATGAGAAAAAATAGTCCATACTAATTAACAAATGCATACACGAGCTTGTGGAAATATATATGGGGCTTCTACTGAGGTCCAATAACTGTATTTGGCACAGACACTAATAAAATGTCTTCATAGATGGGTTGATCAATATAGTTGATAAATAATGAAGCCCTGCTTAACTGCAGTATGGCCATGTTCCATGCGCTGTATTCTAAATGAATAACTCTTTCTCTGTGTCTTCCTTCCCTCCTTCCTTCCTTCATCCTTCTCACTCTATTTTTCTCACACACCTTACAGAGAAACCTAAAAATGTATGCGTTCTCTAGCCAACAAGTAAGTAGTTTAAATTACCAAGTGGCATGATGTAAATGAGATTGGTTTGGCTAATATGATTTCTGGTGAGGAGGGAGGAAGCAATAAAGGAAAGCTATTCGAAAGGAGTCCCCTTTCGCATGCATCAGCACATGAAGCCACCTCATTAATCCCATGAAAACCCGCATCATTGGGATGAGTATTTACAGATGAGATGAAGTTGTCAGAAATGTTTTTCAGCGCTCCCCTGATTGATGCTCGGGAATAAAACCCCTGGAAAGCCCCCCGCCCGAACTACACCTCACCACACCACACACACTTGCATTCTGGCCTCCCTCGCGTGTGCTGCGTGCAATACTAATGCACACAAAACAAATAACTGCATTACCCATGTGAAAACCGACCACTTATTGTGAGCAGATATGGGCTTCGAAAGGAACGTCGACATGTTAATTTCTCTATCACTCCTGCGTGGGTGTGCAGACTATGGTGATGTTGTTGGGGTGAACCATAGGTCAAATATGTCCATCCGACCAACATCAGCCCAACAATAACTGGCATTTCGTTTTGTATTTACGGAGGTCTGTCTTTCTGTGTACACACTTATTTTGCATGTACAGGAAAACAAATTAAGAACTTAATGTTTTTGACAAAGGAAATGAAGCGTGCTTTTCCTTTTTAAAACCAAATTTCAGGCAACCTTTATGATTAAATGGACTCTGGTGGATAAAAGGACAGAGGAAGAAGCATTTAGGAGAGGAGTCGCAGTGAGGCCGTTATGCTCAGCAGTCTAGAGCAAGAACTTTTAAGTTTTAGTTCTTTGCTTTATTCTGGTCTTGTATTTCAAACAAACTGATATGCTAATGTCGTCCTTAAGAAGCCATTTCAAAGGTTCCGTCCCCCACTAAACGGATCATTATTTTGTACAAAGGAAACCAGGAAACTTGATGAAGTTAGTATACACAAACACATAGGGGTCTTTGTCATATCGGACACAATGTCACATTGGCAGAGAGCGGGTAGGTGGACAAAGGAAACCTTTGGTGGAGGCAAATGAAAGCCAGAACTATCGCTCTGATATCTGCTCAGCCACAAAGGACACAACCCTGGGCTCCTACATCACAGAGAAGCTCCTGCAAAGGACGAGCCAGATAGAGAAAAGTTGTAATACAGATGAGTCACTGCACATTCGTTTCCAACCCTGCCGCCAGGTTCTGTGGTACAATTAACCAAAACCAATGACAAATTGGTCAGATGGTGAATCTGAAACACACGCTCATTTGTGTTCAGGCACATTTTCCAATTTTCTTTCAAAACTGTTTGCCGCAGGCGGACAAAATTGGCAAAATTACATTGAGCCAGTTGAGTTGTCCCGCGTCCTTAAATGATCAAACACCTGCAGCTAAAAACAGTTATGAAATAAACACGCTGCTTTGAACCCCGGCTTTATCTGGGCATCTTTCCTGCCCCTCTATCGCTCTTGCCGAGAACCAAAATGATCTCCATCACCTCTAGGTAAAATTAAATTAGATAGTAGCCAATGACAGGTGAACCGAGCTGGGATGCTCCGAGTCAATTAGCTGAGTAATAGCTGTCGGTTGGGTGTTTTTAAGGGTGAGCAGACACAGTCAGATGCAGAGATAAAAAAAAGAGAGCTAATTCAATTAATGAGTTTGATGCTGTTCTTCCCATTATCAGAGCTAGTTAAAAGTGCTGGCGCGTGGCAACGCTGCAAACCGAGGACAAGATGAACACAATCAGATAAAGAGGGCTCGCCAGACAAAGCTCCTCTCCCCCGATGCCTTCTGCTGCGGCGGCGCTCTCTGTGTCACCCTTTTGTCTCACTTTCACCATGTCTCTTATCCTATCTACCCGTGTCTGTCTCTATCGGTTGTCTCTGAAACACTCCCTTGCTTCCCTCCAGTATTTCTCCCATTAACGCTCTATATCCTTCACCCAAGCTTCAGGTCTGGCCTTTAAAAAAAATGTTATTTTGAATAGGAGGACATGGATCCTGCCCATTGTTTGTTGGTCAATTTAGGTCAATTGAGTTAAATATCTTATTTCAGTGTGTAAAGCTACGTCGGGTAATTAGACCTAAGCGTCTCAATTAAGTATAGAGAGTCCAAGTGAGCGTTAGGGTGCAGAATTTAAAAATCTGTCTTGCTTGGTATTTTTCTTACACCTGTAATTAAGACTTATGGCGTAAAAATAACTTAAAAGCAACTAGGGCAGTGGCCAATTAAGGGCAATGGGGCGTCGCCCAACCTGGAACGCCCTCCTTGAGCCCCCCAAAAAAGAGGTGAAAATATAGCATTGCATTATAAAAATTCTCAATCAGGAATCAGGAAACATTTATTGCCAAAATATGTCAAACGTACAAGGAATTTGTCTTGGCGGTGCGTGACAGTAGACAGTGTGACAATAGACAACAAGACAGCAGTGCACAAGTAATAAAATAAAATGAAATGCTAATGCAATGGGTTAGTAGAATAAGGCTATGGGTTGGTATAAAATAAGAATAAAGTTAAAGTTAAAAACTAAAAATATTTGAAATTGTAAGAAATTGCAGTTAAAGTGACATGTGCAGTGTGAGGGGGAGTGACCGGTGGAGTGTTATAGTCAGTCAGTGGGGGACCGGGCTCTGTTGATGAGCCCGACTGCCGACGGGAAGAAACTGTTCGTGTGGCGGGAGGTCTTAGTCCTGATGTACCTCAGCCTCCTGCCAGACGGAAGGGGCACAAAAAGTTTTTGTCCGGGGTGAGAGGGGTCGGTCACGATCTTTTTAGCTCGCTTCAGAGACCTGGAAGCGAGCAAGTCCTGCAGGGACGGCAGATTGCAGCCGATCACCCTCTCTGCAGAGCGGAAGACATGCTGCAGCCTGCCCTTGTTCTTGGCTGTGGCTGCAGCGTACCAGACGGTGATGGAGGAGCAGAGGACGGACTCGATGATGGCCGTGTAGAAGTGGACCATCATCGTCTTTGGCAGGTTGAGTTTCTTCAGCTGCCTCAGGAAGAACAGCCTCTGCTGAGCCTTCTTGGTGATGGAGCTGATGTTCAGCTCCCACTTGAGGTCCTGGGTGATGATGGA